CTAGGACAGGAGATGGCGCTGCTTCTCTGTGCCCGTTCAACTATGTCCATTTCAAATTTGAGTGCCTTCTGTGTCCCAAAAGTTGTCCTTAGTACCAGACAACAAATACAAAGCAGATTATATAGTAAGGACTTTGTTTTCCAGAACCTTGCGCTGAAGTCACAAATGAACATATGAAAATAGAATAGAAATGAGGCTTTCCTGGAAGGAAAAAGTGCTCAAAAGCACTATGCTAGCTGCTTTATAGTATCCAAGTCAGGCGCCTGAGGTTTACATCTTTGTAATCCTAACTACTCAAGAGGCTGATATCTGAGGATCATCATTCAAAACCAGCCTGGGCAGGAGTCCATGAGATTCTTATATCTATTCACCAAAAGGACAGAAATGGAGCTGTGACTTAAGTGGTAGAGCACCACTGGAGCAAAAAAGCCCAGGGAGCCAGCACTGGTGGCTCATGCCTATAATCCTAGCTACTCAAGAGGCTGAGATCTGAGGATCCCTATTTGAACAAGCTCTGGCAGGAAAGTTTGTGACATTCTGTTTTTTTTTTTTGTTTTTTTTTTTGGGGGGGTCCAGTTGTGGGCCTGAACTCTGGGCCTGGGCGCTGTCCATCAGCTCTTCAGCTCAAGGCTAGCGCTCTACCCGTTGAGCCACAGCGCCACTTCCGGTTTTTTTCTTTTTGCTTATGTGGTGCTGAGGAATCAAACCCAGGGCCTTGAGCATGCAAGGCAAGCGCTCTACCACTGAGCCACCTTCCCAGCCCCAAGTTTGTGACATTCTGATCTCCAATAAACTACTCAGAAAAAGCAAGAAATGGTGGCTGTCACTCAAGTGGTAGAGTCGTAGTTTGCACTTCTCTTGCTTTGATGGTTCATCCAGTGTGTTTTGATACACTCAATTCACTTCAATCTTCATGACTGCCAAGGGGCAGAAGAAAAACATGAGGGCCACAGCAGCCTTGAAACCCTCTGTACTTTTAATTCAGATGTGCTTTGGGGTACAAGAATCTCTAACATAACTTTGTACTTTGTGTTTTCATTTTAATAATCTTTTTTTTAATGGATTCAGGTGACCATCCTAAAACTAAAAGCTGCCTCCCCATTTCAGTGTCCCTGTTTGTGGTTGCTGGTAGCTTTGACTACTTCAATTATTCAGTGAGGAGTGGGGAAAGCTTTGGAGATAGACCTGATATCTAATGATGCTCTCAAGTTGCAAGACGAAACAGCCTCTGATGTATCCTTACAAGGGAAGGCTTTAGGGGCTCAAGCTACAGAAAAGTGGGGGGGGAAATAAATGATGACCAGGCACACAAACAGGATAGGTACAGGAGAAGAATCTGGGTCATGGCTGGCGGCAGGCCCTTGTTTCTGGTAGGAGACATGACTTAGAATCAGAGCACAGAAAAATTAACTGGTGTCATTCACTTGAATTTTAGTTTTGCAATCCTTTTGGTATTTAATTTGTAAATTTGTCACTAGAGCTTTACGCATTTTTTTAATCCTGTGTCGTTCTTACGCACCTTAAGTAATATTATAACAAAATCATCTTATTAGCACCAGGAGTTCCTGGGATTTCTTACTTTTAATGGATCACACTAAGTAGTTCAGATTGGCCTTCAACTCATGATCCTCCTGCTTCAGCTTCCTGAGTACTGTGATTACAACTCGGCCAGTACACAGTCCCTTAGCTTTTTTACTTAAGCCTAACTTGCAGCTTTGGGGTGGTTAATTGGAGATAAGAGTCTTATGGACTTTCCTTCCTTGGCTGGCTTTGAACTATAATCCTCAGATCTCAGCCTCCTGAGCAGCTAGGATTACAGGTGTGAGCCACTGATGCCCATCCTGAACTCATCCTTTATAAAGAGCTGCATACTATTCCAGAGGATGGATATATCACAATTCATTCACATATTCCCCTAATGATGGCCATCCTGCTGTCTCCAAAGTTTCTTTCCTGGTTATTCTCAGCAACGTTACATGGCCTTTGAGATGTGGCTTTCACCCCACCCTGCTTTTTAGGATAGATTTCTAGAAGCAAGCTAGGTCAATATATAAGGGCGTGTTTTTAAGTTTAATAGCTGCTTCCCACATTATATGCTCTTTTCACAGATAAACACTTCAAACCTACAATATGCAGGGCACTGTTAGATGCATGAAAATGAACAAGTGTGCCAATACTAAGAGGAACTTGTATGGTTGTGAGGGGGGCTTTTTTTTTAACCATTTATTATAGTGCCCTACTATTATAGCTGTGTGTTTCACATATATTTCCCATTCATACAAATCCTTACAGACTCTATGGATTATCTACTGCTACATAATAAATGACCTCAAAATTTGGTGGCTTAAAGCAACAAACATTTGTCACACAGATTTTCTGTGTCCTTTATGTCTGCCTTATTTTCATTCAGCTTGTGGGCACTATCAGCAGCCATAGCCCCTAGCCACTACTCAATTCAGGAGGGCAAACAATTGCTCTAGAGGAGAGGAAAGAAAAGGGTATCTCAGGGCTTTATATTTCTGGCCCAAAATGCATAAATGACTTGGAAGCCTCTAGGGCTTTTCTGAAATAAGTCCTTGTCCTTGTCAACACATTCCCTAGCATCTGCACCTAGCTTTTGGTATAATGTTTTTTGTTGTTTTTTTTTTCCCATCAATCCTTGCTAGTAAAGACCCCAGTACCTTCAAGAACATTGAATGTGACTGTATTGTCAAGATTAGGGAATGGTCAAATCTTTGCCTGTTTATTGGGACACAACGTGCTCATTTGTTTACATATTGTCTATAACTGCTTTTTGGCTAGAGTGGCAGTTCAGCAGTCAGGATAACTACATAGACATATGATATGGCCCACAAGCTAACAATATTCACTATTTGACCTTTTAGTTAAAAAAAAAAAAAGGAAGAAAAAACCCAAGTCAATTCAGTCTAACTTTTAATAAACAGAAAAGTAGAGCCTTGGGCTGGGAAGGTGGCTCAGTGGTAGAGCGCTTGCCTTGCATGCCTGAAGCCCTGGGTCCCATTCCTCAGCACCATATAAACAAAAAGAAAAAAGCCAGAAGTGGCAGTGTGGCTCAAGTAGTAGAGCGCTAGCCTTGAGCTGAAGAGCTGAGGGACAGCACCCAGGCCCAGAGTTCAGGCCCCAAGACAGGACCCTCCCCCCCGCAAAAAAAAGAAAAGTAGAGCCTGGCATGGCTATAATCCCAGCTACTCAGGAGGCAGAGTTGGAGGATCACAAGTTTAAGGTTAGCCCAAGCAAAGATACCAAGATTCCCACCCCAAATGGGATGTGTTGGTGGGGGAGTGGTGGGGTATAGTGTTATAGATCAAGTGGTAGAGTGCTAGTCTAGTGGAATTCAATCTCCAGTAATACCAAGAAGGGGAGGGGAATATGAGGGCTATATTATGTACAGGGTGTCTTCAAGGAGTGATGAAAAAAGTGGCCCTGGTTGCACATGCTTGTGTGTGTGTATACATATATACATATATATGTATATATATATACCTAATAAACTGAATGCCCTACCAAGCAGGGGGCCCTCCAGAGTTCAGCAGAGAACTCAGAACCTAGCAAAAGGCTGGGAATGTGGCTCAGTGGTAGAGTGCTTCCTAGCATGCATGAAGCCCTGGGTTTGATTCCTCAGTACCACATAAACAGAAAAGGCTCTAAGTGGTGCTAGCCTTGAGCAAGAGAAGCTCAGGGACAGTGTGAGTCACAGCACTTTGTTTTCTGGTGGTTAATTGGAGGTAAGTCTCATGGACTTTACTGCTAGGCTGGCTTTGAATCATGATCCTCAGTCCTCAGCCTCTTGAGAAGCTAGGATTATAAGCAGGCGCCACCAGTGCCCAACTTCCTTAAGCTTTTGTGCTCAAGGCTAGAGCTCTACCACTTGAGCCACAACTCCACTTCTGACTGAAAATCTTTGGCTAGACAAAGGGAGTATAAACAGCAGAAACCTGAGGTTTCTTCTTATAAACCTCTCCATATGGACATTGTAGCCATCTGTGGGTGGGTATTCATGCACATTGGTTTAGGTATCAAGTTCAAAGACAGTTCTCTGATAGTTAGATCCCATTTGAACCTTTTTCAGATTCATTCCCATCCTCCTCTTCCTTGTTGTTCCCTGGGAAGGGTGGGGAAGGACGATGACCCCTGAAGACAAGCATGGGGTTATCCTTGTCATCTGCTTTCTGGTTGGGCTCAGCTAAATGGAGGTCCCAGAAGACTAGAGATTGAGGTAAGACTTGGCTATTGACACTTGGACATCTCTTCTGTCAAGCCTCAGTTGTGATTGAATGCTATAATTCCACAAGTCCTTTCTATACTCCACAGGCCGTTCTGTGACCCACTCACAGCTTCCCCTTCCAGGGCCCACAGGGTAGATGCTGCTCTCCAGGAAGCCCTATAGTCCACAATGACATCTGGATTACTTCTTCCATTAGAGCAGGCAGTAGATGAGTTCTGGCCATAGAGATACCCATCATCACAGATAAAATCTAAATATATTGTCCCTCACCCACAAAACTGCAGCTCTATCATTATCACCAGTCCTATTATACCAGCAAAGGCAAAGTTTAGGTTCTATAGTCCATTTTGTTTGGGCAGTACTGGGGATTGAACAAGACCTTGTACCTGTCTTGCTTTTTGAAACAAGGACTCATTGCATAGCCCAGACTGGCCTGAAACTCTTAACCCTCCTGTCTCATCCTCCCAAGTTCTGGCATTACAGATGTGTACCACCACACCACGTCCCAGTCACTTATCTCAATTCCTTGGGACCTTACTATCACAGAGGTAGTCTCCTTTTTTTTAAGATCCAGCCATAACTAGTTGTAGGAACTATCGCTATGTTCCTCTAACAGTTCACCGGCCATTTTATTCCCTAACACATTACTGTTCTAGTCTACCCTAGGTACTCTTCACATACACTCCCCCATCCCCTCAGTGTATAGCATCAATGCTATTCAGCCAACATCCACCCTCCAAAGAAACCCAAACAGTTCAGAGGTGCATCAATCGACCTTTAATGTCCAAAAGAGGCGTGGATGCAGAGCATAGGAGATGTAGCAGGGTCTCAGTCCCTGCTCCAGAAATGGAGAAATGAACACAAACCAGACACTTCCAACTGGCCACACAAAGTTTGGGAGGGCAGGGAGAAACAGATTTGGACATTCATAAAAAAATAAAACCTAAAATCAAACACTCTTGTACCCACTCAAGGGCTTGAATAGGGAACTCAGTCACCGCCCTAGTTCCCACCCGCTCCTGATAGCATTAAAAAGAAGGCTCAGCATACACTAAAGAACTTGGGGAGGGGACATTCTTCTGCCTCCTCCTAACCCCAAGAATGGACTGGAAAAAAAAATGAGCTAGATACCCCAACCCCAACCCCCCAATGTCAAACCTACAGATGAGTTTTGAATGTGATTCATCAGAATCAGCAGCTCAATCAGCAATGACAACCCTATCCCATTCCCAGGTCATCCGTTGCATCCTCCCTGGAATCTCCTCCCACTCAGCTTCACTATCTTCTAATATGTCGGACTTCATCACTGCAAGACTCACCTCCTCTGAAGTTCCACCGAAGCTCTTCTCTGCCCTTTATTACTTCCATCTACTTCCCCATAAGAGACTGTAACCATCCACAAAGTCACTTTTCCCCTCCACTGAGACCCAGCTCTAGGGCAGATGGCAGCATGGCCATCTTGTCCCAAAGCTTTCTCAGGGAGCAGGCAACCAAATAGGGCAGCAAATCTGAGCTAGATGACTGGGAGGGTGTGTGGGGGTGGGGGGTGGTAGATGGTAACACTTGTCTTCATCCCACAACAGACATACCAAAAGGCTCACTTATAACTAACCGTGTCCCCTACCTACCTATATACCCTAGAGATGCCACCTTTTCTGCCCCCTCCCTCCCCTCTACCCCAGACCCACATACACACATACACAGATACAGATACATACACACACACATACGCGCAGAGACATAAAGAAGGGAAACATTGATTTGGTTTGACTGCTAAGACCTAACTAAGGAACTACAGTCATCAGAAATTCCCTTGCCAGCCAACTAACAACAGGGGCTGCTTTAAGAGAACTCCAGAGGAATGAAAAAACCAAGGGTTAAGCAGAGAGCAGACAAAAGAGAATAAAGAAAACTAATCAAGCTAAATCTATCCCCAACATCTTCCTAGTGTGATCTCTGGCAGGAAGAAAAGGTAATCCACGAAGACACAGCCCTTACTTAGAAATCCTGACAAAGACAGCAAGACAAGTCTGCTCCCCACTCCCACACACCACAGAGGAACACATTGCAGGGCCCCTTAAAAGAAACCACCCCCACCCCACACCCTGCCCTAAGCCGTAAAATCACAGTTCAGTGGAATATTTTCCCTGGTACTAGATCAATTCCCCCCATCCTCCTTCCTACCACTCTCTCCTCTGATCAATCCTAATGCAGTCTTCCAGCAGCCTCCCCGGCCCTCCTAAAACAGAATCCACCACCAGGAGAGGCAACTGCAGTTACTTTTACCTCCAGATATCTGTTTCTTTTCCTCAGCCTTCCTAGTCTTTGAGACTTTGTTGAGGAAATTTTATTTTGTATAGGGAGAGAAAGAGAAAAAGGAGGGGGCGGGAGAGATTCCTAGTGCAATACAACCAAAAAAAAAAAAAACAAAAAAAAAAAAAACTTTTTTTAAATCTCGAAAAATAAACGTAAAGCAGCCTTCTTCCCCAGGCAACTAAACAGAAAGAAGTTTGGTTTTGTTTACTGCGACATACACATGAAATCGAGTATACAGTCCATGCAGTAGCACAGCCATTGGAGAGGACATCCTGATGCTGGCCCCAGTGCAAAACAGTCCCAGCAACGCCGCCTGCTTGCCATCGCTGCCGCCGCCACTGACACCTTCATCATGGCCACCTAGCCTGACTTGAAGAGGAGGATTGCAACTTGACCCAAGTAAAAATAGATGAAGTGCTTTGTCTCATGTGTGACGTAGCTGCCAAAATTTCGGCCCACAATACAATGCCAGGTAGGATTATATTTCTTGTCAAATTCCTGAAGAATAAAAGGGGGAGAAGAAAGGTGATTAGAGGAGCTTAAGAAATCAGAATTGGAGTCTCTCCCTCTCTGAAACTCCAGCACCCACATTCAGTTGTTACTATCCTACCCCAACCAGGGCCTCAGCTACCAAACCCCAGGAGCTCAGGTTCTAAGGTTGGCTAGGACACTCCTCCCCTTATCAATAATGGAACACCACAAAGGCTCCATTATTCCTGTGTGCCAACTCTCTAGCATTCTACACCCTGATCATCTCTTCTTCCTCTAGCTATTCCACCCCCTCACACCACCACAAGCACACTCAAGTGAGTCTTCAGCAATGCAATGGGATGAGCCAGTGGAAAGAAGGATGACTGCATTTCCATATAGCATGGTAAGTGGGAACTGGTCGCCCACTGCCTCACATGGTACTAAACTAGCACTTGTAAATGTCAAAAGCCAAGACACTGAAGCAATTGAGGACCAACTATGGAGAGTACAGGGAAATAGTTCTATTAAGCCAGCATTAAAGGCAATCACATATGCCAAGCACCATGAAGGCACTCAATATCAGAACAAGGACCTCCCCACCAATTCTCTCACTTGTATCAAGGGCCCAAAACCACCTAGAAGATCCCTGTGAGCTAATCAGATAGAGCCTCACAGAGTCTGCAAGTAACCTCAGTTCTAGATGCATCCTGCTGTGGCTATGAAAATGCAGCAACTCTCCACCATGGACCCATCAATGCTGTCAATCTTGAGGCTGTTTCACATGGTGTCCCACATACAATGTTTAGCTTCCTAATAACCCCTATCATCACATAATCCCAAGAGATAGTAAGAAACAGATCCAATGCTCACCTTGAATCTAGACTCTGTCAGAATATAACAGTCACTTCCCCCTAAAGTGATGGTAAGGCCATCACTTGGCATGAAGCTGCCATCTCTGCTGTACCCTCTATGGACACAGACACACACACACACACGGACACACACACACACACGGACACACACACACGGACACACACACACACGGACACACACACACACAGAGTTTCTTTCTTAGGACTCCAGTTTCCTCCCTGTAAAACTCAAGGAGATTCTACCTATTCTACCTACCATATCCTACTGGCATGGACCATCTTTTTTGAGATGATCAAAAACTGGGCCTAGCCAGGCACCGGTGGCACACACCTCTAAACCTAGCTACTCAGGAGGCTAAGATCTAAGGATACAGGTGCAAAGCCAGCCCAAGTAGGAAAGACCATGAGACTCTTTATCTCTAATAAAACACCAGAAAACCAGAAATGGTACTATAGCTCAAGTGGTAGAGCACTAGCCTTGAGCTGTGGGACAGTACCCAGGCCCAGAGTTCAAGCTCCACGACCAACTCACCAAAAAAATAAAAAACAAAAACTGGGTCGAGGGCTGGCTCAGTGGTAGAGTGCTTGCCTTGCTTGCATGAGGCCCTGGGTTCGAGTCCTCAGCACCACATAAGCAAAAAGAAAAAAGCCAAAAGTGGCGCTGTAGCTCAAGTGGTAGAGCACTAGCCTTGAGCTGAAGAGCTGAGGGACAACGCCCAGGCCCAGAGTTCAAGCCCCATGACCGGACCCAAAAAAAAAACCAAACCAAACCAAAAAACTGGATCTATGCCTGTAGTGGACAAGGGTTGTGGCTAGGAGTCAGGTGGCCCAGATACCCATTTCTTTCTTCCTGCTCAAATCAGCTGAGCCACATTCCCAGCCCAGTGTTAACCATGTTCATCCATGTTCATTCACACATTCACTAAAGAGTTTTTCAGGAACTAAAAGCTTATTCTAATATTAATTTTTCTTAAATTATACAGTATCTGTGGGTTCTACATCTATGGACTCAACAAACCATATACTGAAATATTCAGAAAAAAGTTACATCTGTATTGAATATGTAGTCTTTTCTGTCATTCCTTAAACAATTCAGTATAACTACATAGTATTTGCACTGTATTAGGTATTATATGTAGAGATGATTAAAAGTATGCATAACAGTATGCATAAAAGTATGCATAGTGGCAGAGTGCTTGCCTAGCATGCAGGAAGACCTGGGTTCTATTCCTCAATACCACATAAACAGAAAAAGTCAGAAGTGGCACTGTGACAAGTGGTAGAGTGCTAGGCTTGAACAAAAGAAAAGAAGTTCAAGGACAGTGCCCAGACCCTGAGTTCAAGCTCCAGGATTGCCCCCCTCCCTAAAAAAAGTATGCATAAGTTATATGCAAATAATTCCATCATTTTATGAGGAACATCATTTCATATAGGTACAGGGAGGAAGGGTGTATCCTGGTTCCAAATCCCCCATAGAAACCAAGAGCATATATTCAAGTCCATTCTTAAGACTATAGGGAGAAGAGGATGCTACAGTACCTTATTCCTTTTGCAGCAAACTCACTACCCTCATGATGATTACTATAAGGATATCCTACTTTTAAGTGGTGCAGTTTCCTGAAAATTTATGCTTTCCTAATGTTAATTCCAAATACTTCTGTTCTGATCTGGGCCAGTAATATTTTATTCTGAACCTTTGCTACATAGTGATTCCCTTCCCCAATGCTTTGTAATCACTAAATTATCTGTAAAATAACATGTTTCTAGCATGTCTACTAAGAATTGAGAGAGATGGGACAGGAAGGGAATGACAATGATCAAGATGATCATGCTGTACTCTACACATAAGTTAACATGTTGAAACTCATTTGTACAACTACTTAAAGGTGTGTGTGTACGTATGTTTTTTTCCTAATATATATAATTGGTGATTCAGAATCACTCCCTAATTTATCTACTTGGTAAATTCTGCAGGATTTGGTTGCATGTTTGCATGGGATACACCTCTCTTACTTACATCCTCTGCTCCAATTCTCCCCTGAATTACAACTCACTTGCCAATCCCTCCTTTGCCACAAGCTACAGCTCTCTCAGCATACCTTCTTGATATAGGCAGCAATGTCCTTCTCTATGTTGTACTTCTCCATGGCCTGCGTGGCACAGTCAACAGCATCCTGTTGCATGTCCTCAGACATGTCTGCGTTCTTGATCACTGCCTTCCGGTCAGACATGGTGACACTGCAATAAGGTAAGAGAGGTGAGGCTGACAATGCCATGCTCTAGGCAATAAACATGACCTGCTGAGTGTGAGGCCTCAATGGGACAGGGGAGTATAGAGGGTAAGTTTAAGGAAAACACAGACATAAGGCATTACGAGAGGAAGTTCCTAAGTTTTTTAGTGGAAAATATTATCCTTGGAAGTGTTAGAAACAAGAAAAAAAAATCTGCCACAAGTTTTTATCATGTATAAAGTGAGGTGTTTTTTTTTCTAACTCTTAATAGCTATCAGCTTCTAATACTCTAAACAGCACTGATATCCAAAATATTGTAACCTATAACCTAGCTGCATCTTTAGGCAAGTTACTCAACTTTTTTTTTTTTTTGGCCTGTTCTGGGGCTTGAACTCTGGGCCTGGGCACTGTACTGTTCCTGAGCTTTGTGCTCAAGGGTAGCACTCTACCACTTGAGCCACAGCTCCACTTCAGGCTTTTTTCTGTGACTAATTGGAGACAAGTCTCACAGACTTTCCAGTCTCAGCTGGCTTGAATAGTGAACGTCAGATCTCAGCCTCCTGAGGAGCTAGGATTGCGGGTGTGGACCACTGGTGCCCACCTAAGTAACTCAACTTTTGTATTTTCATTATTAACTAGAAAACAGGGACTACAAGATTTATCCTTAAGCTAATACTACTGGCATAACACCTAAACAGACTATCCCTTATTAGTACATCATTGGGATCAAAGCAGAATTAGGAAGTCATTCTTGAATTTTTTTTTTTTTT